CCACCACGCGTTCCCTGCCTCCAAGGAAGCTCCACCGAAGAACCCAGCGGCTGCGTTCGCGTATCGCCTCGGGCCCACGTCGGTTACACCTCTCGAATATTTCGTGGCGCCATCGGGAGCTCCAGCGACGGCCCCCATGGCTGCGTTTGCATGCCGCCTCGGGTCCGTTTCGGTACACCCCTCGCACGCTTCGAGGCCCCACAGGAAGCCCCTCACACGTTTCGATGCCCCTAGGGGAAGCTCCACCGAGTGCCCCAGTGGCTGCTTTCGCATACCCCCTGTGGGCCGTTTCGGCACACCCTCACACGTTTCGAGGCCCCAGAGGGAGCTCCACCGAGTGCCTCAGTGGCTGTGTTCGAATCCGCCCTGGGCCCCTTCTGGCACAGTCCTCGCATTTTTTTGTGAGCCCAGAGAGATCTGCATCGAGGTCTCCAGCGGCTGCCTTCGCTTTGCGTCCCCGCTCCATTTTGGCACGGTCCTCACACGTTTCGTGGCCATAGGGAGTTTCACCGAATGCCCCAATGGCTGCATTCGCATGCCACCTCGGGTCCATTTCGGCACACCCCTCAAACGTTTCGCGTACTCATAATGGACTCCACCAGTTGCCCCCGTGGCTGCATTTGCATGCCGCCTCGGGTCCATGTCGGCACACCTTTGACACGTTCCATGGCCCATAAGGAGCTTCACCGAAGGCCCCAGCGGCTGCGCTGGCATGCCATCCCGGGTCTACTTCGGAACGCTCCTTCCACGTTTCGTGGCCCCATAGGGGGCTCAACCGAATGCTCCTGTGGCTGCTTCGCATGCCGCCTCGGGTGAATTTCGGCACACCTCTCGCACAATCGCGGCCCCCTCCAGGTGGGCACACCCTTGGCACGTGTCGAGGCCCCATAGGGAGCCCGAAAAACCCAGTGACGGCGTTGGCACAGCGGCCCCATCCCAAGTCGGCACGCACCTCACACGTTTCGTGGCCCCACGGGAGCTCCACTGAAGGCCCCGACGGCTGCGTTTGCATGGCGTCCCTGCAGTATGGAGCTCCACCGGTGGCCCCAGTGGCTGCGGTTGAACAGCGGCCCCGCCAAATTTCGGCACACCCCTCACACGCGTCGTGGCTCCATAGGGATCTCCACCGAAGACCCTCACATGGTGGCCCCGTTCCATTTCGGCACAAGTGGCCTCAGAGGCAGTTCCACGTATTTCCAAATTGGTGTCGGTGGCATGGCGGCCCTCGCTTCATGTCGGCGACCCCCCCCGCACGCTTCGTGGCTCCGCAGGGAGCTTCGCCGAAGGCCCAGGTGGGTATGGTCGCATGGCACGGCCCTGCGCATTCTGGCACATCCGCATATTTCATAGTTCCTGCACCCATCCGCTCGTACTTGTTTGTCCATCGCATGTTTTGCTGTGTGTTTCGATTGCCCCCCAGACGAGGTTCGTTGCCGTCGCTGCGCCGAACCAGTTCGGGCTGGGTCGCTCGCCAGGCTAACTTCTTCTGGGGTCGTTTTAGGGCGCTCTCGTGCGGCCGATCAGATGCCCCTCGTGCCCCCTCGGGGCTGTCTCAGTATGCTCTTTGGCAGCGTTCGAAGTCAGGTGCCCTTCTCGTGCCGATGCCGTCGTCGTCGATCGGAGAGGGCAGATATCAGTGAGACGAGGAAGGCTCGTGGCAGGGTGCGCTTCGTGGTTGGGCTCCTTCGTGTCTGTGGCGGCCCTGCGTGGCCAGGGGTGGATTCCCGTGGGTGTTCTGGCCAGTCTGCACCCTCGGGGGAGAGGAGTCGACCCGTCGTCGACGTCGAGTCGAGTCGTGGAGTTTCCGCCTACAGTACTCTTGTCCACATCCAGTGTCTCAGTCAGCAGATCATGAAGATCGTGTGCTTCAGCGGTGTGTCACCGCTTTTGCAACGAAATGTTCGAGGGAGTGAGGCCATGCTGCCCGCTTGCAGGGCTTACCAGTTCGACCCGATCATCCTGCGCACGTTGCACTAACCTATCGTCATGCCAGTTCTGCCTAGGGGTTCTTCTCCGAAGATCTTGGCGCCTAACTATTTGTCATTCGCGTCCCGCTTGTGATGCAATGTGTTTGCTCTGGTTCGGATCGTTGCAGGGTTGAAGCTCAGCAGAAGCAAACCATGCATTCATATGTGCGGCTCTGCAGATGGAAGCCATCCTGCATCGGCTTCGGGCAGCCAGCGTCGACGCCACTGGCTCCAATTCGTGCAAGCCGCATGCCGCTTTTGTATTCTGACTCTAGGCCATGCGTGGCCATTCTGGCTCAAGCAGTTTAGGGCCAAGCTGCAGGTTTTGCTCACTCGCACCAGGCTGCCGCGTGCCACGGCATTGCCGAGATGGGTGGCCTAGAGCTCCCTGTCTCTTCGGATAGCTTCTCGGAAGGCGATGCAGTGCCAGCAGGCCACGGCCGCAGTTTCGTTCGCTACTGGGTGGCGGGCCTTGCGCTGGCAACAGTGGTCGTGGCCACCGTTTTGCTGACTGCCCTTGGGGGCAGCATCGGCCCTGGGCCTGACGTGGCTGTGGTCGGGGACTCCATCTCCATGTCTCACTTCTCGCAGACGAAAAGCTACAAGTGCAACAAGCAGCACGCAGAAGAACTCGCGCAGTGCGAGCCCGCATCAGCACAGGCGAAGGACGCGGATGCCAGACGCCTGGCCGAAGAAGATGGGTCCAGCGAGTCCGACGATGAGTCTGGCGATGAGGCGGAGCTTTCCGATGTCGCTGGGTGCAAGAGCAGGGCGAGTGACAACTACAAGACGTGCTGCTCGGCCATGGATGGCGGAAGATGCCGGTACCCGTGCACCAGGGTGTGCCAGCAACAATACGGCACCATCACAAACGAGTACAAACAATGTTGCAAGAGGTGCCCTGGGGGTGGATGCGTGGACCCATGGGTCATGCTGAAAGAGGTCTACGAGCTGCACGGACCGTGGGGCTGAGCCGTGACGCCTGCACTTACCGACCTCGGCGGCGGAGCGGGGCTGACCGCGGAGTGTTTTCAAGTTTAGTTTCAAATTTAGTCTGGGTGTCGTGCGAGCGCGCATGTGACACACATTTTTGATCCCCTTCCCCATACAGCGAAGGCGTTGGTTAGACAACGTGCCCACGGGGCTTAGACCCTGGTGGATTCTTTGTCTAATGAATGCAGCGGTGATGTCCATGGCCACTCCACGATTGGAGTTCCTCTGGCTTCCAGACCCTGGATTCCTCATGGTTCTTTACCCAACTCACCTTGCGTCTCCTTGTATTATCTTCTTTCTGGGTCTCTTTCCATTCCCTCCCTCTCTGCATCTTAACATGGAACTCGCATCCACAGCAGAGCTGTGTGTAGCATGCCGAATGCCAAGGTGTGTATATAGCTAGAGTCCAGTATCTTCAAGCCGGGATTCGTAGAGCCAGGGTGGCTATAAACATTCCTTTCACGTCCTCCGAATCATCGTCGTCCTTGAGCTCCCAATCGTGCACAGGGTCCGGCGTGCTGTTGTACATGGACGTGGTGTTCGCAGGCGTTGTGGTCTTTGCGGCGATCGCAGGTAAATGTCATCACGGTGAATGTGTTGTTCGCGAGACAGACAGAGGCAGAGGAGCCAAACGCCGTCTGGCGTGTAGGCGGAATCTGGCAGCAGGTTTTGCTAGCTTCTGGCAGTAATGAATTAAACTTGAGCGTCGATCCACCAATGAGTAGGTGAATGTGCTGTTCGCGAGAGAAGCGGGGCAAGAGGAGGAGGAGGAGGAGGGGGACGGCGATTGCGAAGAAGGAGAGGGGAGGTAGGGAGAAGCACGGCTGAGGTAAGAGTCCGACACGCACAAGCCGCTGCGAGCGCGGTGGTGGTTTCTATCCTGTCGCCGCCGCGACGGCCGCCACCACCGTCGCCAACCTCGTCGTTCGTCGCCGCCGCCGCTGCCGCCGTCGCTGCCGCCCCTGCCGTCGCCGTCGTCGTCGTCGTCGTCGTCGTCGTCGTCGTCGTCGTCTGTTGTTGTCGTCGTCATCGGTGGCGTCGTCAACGTTGTCGTCATCGTTGTCCGTCGTCGTCGCCAGCGCCGTCGCCGTCGCGTCGCCGTCGTCGTCGTTGTCGTCGTCGGCGTCGTCGTCGTCGTCGTCCTCTTCCTCCTCCTCGTCTTCCTCGTCTTCCTCGTCGTCTTCGTCATCCTCGTTGTCGTTTTCGGTTGGCAAGCTCACCGCCTCCGCTTGCCTGCTCTACAAGCTCATTCATGGGTTGGTGCTCGCTCCTTCGTCGGGGAACCTGCTGACAGTCGATGTGTTCCGTGGCCACACCAGCCTCTTCGTTCCGTATTTGAGGTTTTTCTTGGCCAGGCTACACTCGAAGCCCTCGCCAGGGAGAGACGGGGGGGATGGGGAATGGGGAGGACGAAGAGGAGGACGAGGGTGAAGAGGAGAAACAGGACGAGGAGGAGGGGGACTAGTTGGAGCAGGAGCACAGGGGGGAGGAGGAGGGAGGAGGAGGAGGAGGACGATTCCGATGAGGAGTTTTTCGACGACGTCAATGACACTGACGACGACGGACGACTGACGGCGACTCCGACTCAGACGTTGACGACGACAACGACGATTCTGATGACGACAAAGACGACGGCGACGATGAGTTGGTCGGTGACTTTGACGGCGACTCCGAAGCTGGCATTGTCGACGACGACGACGGCGACGATTCCGACTCCGACTCCGACTCCGGCGGCGACGCCGAATATTCAGAATATGATTTCGATGAGGACGGCTGCGGTGACAGCTGCGATCGAAAAGCAGGCCATTGTTGTGCTTGCAGGCACAGTGCGGCTCGGCCGCAGACTACGGCGATCGCAACGCGCCCCCGCCCCGACGAACCCCACCCCGCCCCAGCGTTACCATTCCCAGGGGCCCATAGATACCTCCCCCGCCGGTAACGACCGTTACCAGCCAGAAGAATAAAAACGATCCCTTAGTCCTCTACCCCACGTTCCTCCACGCTTCCTGCTCCTGCTGCTCCTTTTCCGACTGCCTCCGTAGCCATTTGGCTCAAGCCGCTTGCCTTTTTTTGCTCCCTGCGCAGGGAGGCACCACAGGGGGGGGGGCTGGGCGGCGCGCCCCCCTCCCCCCCCTACGCCGCGCCGCTCCCGGCGATTGGTTCCCCCCCCGGGATGCCCCGAGTGCCTCTGAATCACTTCACGACGCGGACCGACGTCATGCAGCACGACGCGGAGGATGCCGATGACTATCTGCACCAGGGGGCAACGAACGGCCGCAGCATCAGCGGCCGCTCTGGCGCGATCTACCGTTCCTGGCGCTCCCCGGAGGCGGCCCGTGCCCAAGGCCTAGAGTGGCTGGAGTGGCTGGGCCTGCAGGGCCTCTTCGCCGAGCAGCGCAGCGGCAGGGGCACGTCCTGGTCATACGTGGGCGACGGGAGGGGGGCCTACGAGCAATTGGAGGAGTTCCGCTTTGTCGGCGAGGGCGCGGGCAGCTTCGACAAGCAGGAGGACACCGTGATCAGACCGTCGAGTGTCAAGCCTGGCTGCATGTTCTTCGGCCTGCTGCTCATCGGCTTGATGCTTGTCTCCACTGTGCTGGCGGTAGGGCTGTACAGCGCGAGCTCGCCCAAGGCGCCCACGGAGAAGCCAAAGGTCTTAAAGCTGGCGCAGGCGCAGCAGGTGCAGACAACGCTGCTGGCTGCCGCGAGCGCTGGGGATGCCGAGCTGCAGGTCGCATCAGAGGAAGGGTTCGAGGTGGGCGATTCGGTCATCATCTCCGACGGGTACAGTAGCTCCGAGACGAAGACGATCAGCGCCTTCGGCTCGATCCTGCTGGGCTCGCCGCTGGAGAGGCCGTTCGCGGAGGGCTCTGCGGTGACCAAGGCGCCCCGCGCCTCCGGGGACGTCCTGCTCAGCGAGCCGGCGCACGCCGGAGATAACGAGCTCCAGGTATCCTCCTTTGGCGACCTGGCTGTGGGCGCGACCGTCCAGATCGGCAGGCACAGAAGTGACACAAGGACTGTAGTGGCGCTCAAGTGGAAGCACAGGGTGGTGGTGGCTCCTGCCCTGCAGCGGGCCTACTCCAACGGCACCCGCGTCGCGTTCCTGGCCCGTGGCTCAGAGCCGACTCAGACCACATTGACTACATTGACGACGGTAACTACAACCGCGATATCCACAACAAGTACAACCGCGATATCCACAACAACTTCAGTGACCTCATCTACGTCTTCGCCACTCTATGAGTGCAAAGTGGAATCGGACGACGAAGCCATGCTGCACTGGTCGGCCATCCACCAGGCGTACTGCTGCGAGACCCACGGCTTGGCCTGCAGGGCCGAGACCACGGTAACCTCCACGACTTCGTTCTACGACTGCGGTGTTGGGAGGTCTGACTGCTAGGTTTCACGAAAGGTCTAGAATCGCTCTATTCAGAGCTGTGGGACGGAAACGCATTTCGCGTGGTCGAAACATACAAATAAAGCTGATTTCAGGTAATTGCTACACATATGTTTCTGAAACTCATATATATATATATATATAAATAATATTTTAGCAACACTCATAGCTCCGATGGGTGCGCCATTTTGTTTTGAGCCCATATGTCGAACATTCCCCCGTACGCAGGTTGTAACAGCGTGTATATGCAAATATATGTATAGGTATGTACCCCCAGCGACAAGCTGGTACTCCAGGCTACTGTTATCTCGCAAGCTTTCCATCCAGAGGGTTAGCAGAGATCGCAACACCTGAAAAGCATTCCCGCCAAATCGCTCAAAACACAGCGCGTGATGATATAGAGTTGTAGGGCGCGTTTCCTTTACCCCCAGACCCCCCCGCGAACAGATCAGTCAACATGTTAGAGGTCTTCCTGGCGAATCCCGGCGGAATATCGGCAGAAGCCCTTAAATAGCGGAAGAGCGGTGGAAGCAACCATTGAATTACATAATATTCCTTCCTTTTCTCGCAGCGGTTCAGCCGAGACACGCGGGCGACGTTGCACTGCCTCCAGTGGACTTGCTCGCCAGGGCTCGGGGCCAGAGTGAAAAAGCACATCACACACTCAGGAGCGACGTTTGAGAAGGAGGTTCGTTGGGATGGACAGGGAGGGAGGGAGAGGGATAGTTAAAGGAGGGGAGGGTGAGGGGAGGGGGAGCTGAGGGGAGGGAGAGGGTTAAAGGAGGGGGGAAGGGAGAGAGATGGAGAGACAGTGGCAGTGGAGGGACGGAATTTCATGTAGGTTCTGCCGTGTGTGATGTATGAGTCGATGCACGTTGTATGTATGCGTGCGCGCATGCGTGCAAGATGACCCGTAGTGATTGTGTGTTGTCTGTCAGTGTTCTGATGTTGAATGTTGAATGGTTGTATGTGTATGTGACTTGTGATGTTGTTTCAGTACAGTTTGAGATATGTCGATGCTGATGCTGTTGCACGGGGTTGGGCGATGTGTGACGTGCAGGCCCAAACGTGTATATCTTGCTACACGCTCTCACTCATCATGCACTGGCTTCAAGAACTCTGCCACCGCCTCCTGCTTTGGGTGCTTCTTGCCAGGATTCAAACCCAACAGCTCATCATAGGAATCAGAACCAGCACCCTTGAACAGAACCGTCTTCCGCACTCCATACACCATCGCACCAGTGTCCACGCTCTCAGCAACGAGCCAGCCGGAGGGAATGTAGATCGCGTCTCCTGCGTTCACATTTGCGCTCATGATCATCACACCTCTATCTTTCAGCGCGCTCAGCGTCTCAGTGCTAGAGCTCTCAAGGTGCTTGATCACTTCTGGGAGCGTCACGCTGTCCTTGCTGAGCACCTGGCGCAAAGCAGGCACAACCTGATGAGCATCAAACATTAACATATTGACGCTCCCGTATGCCACAGTATTGATCATCCCCAGGCCGTTGCTTGTCTGAGATAGGTTGTACATTGGGATCTTGTAGCCGAGCATCCACGTGCTCTCCAGGACGGTCTTGAATGTCTCTGCGCCATCCGTAGACGGGTTGATCACGAGCTTGGCATCGACACTCTTGCACATCTTCTCCATGAACTGGTCCACGACCTCCTTCCCCTCCCCAGTATAGAGAGGCTGCTGGACCCTGCCTTGCTGCTTGCACTCAGGGGAGCTCTTGTAGCTGCCGCCGAACTTCCCAAGTTGGAAGGCGAGGATCTCCACTTCAGAAGCAGTCTTCCACTCAGACGGGCCAGTGATGAGGAGCGGCGCCATGATGGTGTTGTCATTCAGCTCCTTGCCGGCAGGGGCCGTCCTGATGAGCCCATGGGTTATGAGCTCGTCGAATTTCAGCTTGAACAGAGGCGGCGCCATTTTCGAGGAAGCCTTCAGCTTCTCCTGCAAACGTTTTGTCTCCTCCCTCGACTTCTTGATAGCCTCGGCCGCCTCCTCCACCTGCTTCCTTTTCTGCTCCCTCTCAGCCTTCCCCTCTTGATTCTTGATGTGCCCAGAAAGAGCTCCACTTGACTGTCTCAATGACGTCAACATCTGGTTGAAATACTCGCACTTCTCACTGACTGACTCTTCGAGGCTGCTGAGCTCTGTTGCCGTGACCGCTGATGAAACCGTCTCCACTAGCTTGAGCATCTCGTTGTAGGACGCCAGCTTCGAGTTGTCATGAGTCACCTGCCCAGCGATCCCTTTCTCGTCCAAGAACTTCTTCAAGGCTTTGGTCTGCTTATCGCCCAAGTTGGCGCTCAAACTCGACTTGTGGCTGGAGGCGGAACCAATCCCCTTGCTCAAGGGCGGAGACTGCGCTGGCACGTCTTTGCCGGCCTCCTCTTTGGTCTCGACGGCCGGCGTGCCCTGCATTTTTTCTGTCTTGACCTCCTTGGAAACCTCGGCCGTTGGTCTCCCTTCGGCCACGTCCTCCTCGGGCTGCTGCGAACCCTCTTCCTCGGGCTTCACCTCGGGCTTCGTCGGGGTGGCCAGCACGAGTTGTTCCGAACGCCCTTCCAAGGGTGCCGTGCCGCTCCAAAACTGCAACGCCTGAAAGCGAATGCTCACAACATTGACGTAGTTTTTCATGTTCTGGTCATGGTCGGGAATGCGCGCCGCATCATCCAACGCCTTTTTCATCATCTGCTTCAGGATATCCCCGGCCTGCCGCGCCTTGTCGACCTTCTTCTCGAGTTTGGTCCTCACCTTGGGCATCGCTGTGGCCACGTCGACGTGCTTCAACTTCTTAGATGGTGGCCCATCCTCACCGTCCTCTTTCTTGACCTCCGCCACGGGCTTGCTGTCGCGATCTCCGTCGTCCTCCCACCCGCCTGTCCCTGTCAGCGTCCCTGACAGGAACGCATTGCTGCTTGAAGGGGCTGATGTGTGGCAATATTGCTTGAGGCTGTCTTTGTCCGCCTTGGTCAAGTCCTTCATCTGCTTGGATCCTTCCTCGAAGTTGGAGTCGATGTACCTTTCGACATCGCCGGTCCTCTGCCTCTTCATGTAGACCCAGATGCGGGTGCTAGGCCACTCGCCCTCCTTCTCGATGCCGGGCTGGTTGCACATTTGCTTGAACTCCTCGGTCTTGACCTTATTCGCCTCTTCTTTCGCTTCCCCCTCTGGCATGTGCTTGGTCTTGATGTCAACGTATTCTGCTACGTCCAACCACTCTTCGACATTGCGAACTTTTGTGCTGACTCTGACGCCGAACTGCCTTTTCCACTGGCCCCAATCGATGAGTCTCTTGCGGAACCGACCCTCGCAGTTGTCCTTCTCGTACTGCTCCAGAGCCTGATCCGCCTTGACTGGGTCATTGAAGATTTGATTGTATGTTTCTATCTCGCCATCCTTCTGCGCTTGGTTCTTGCAGTTCTCCGCGCCCTTGTGGTGTTGAATACAAAACTTGCTGTCGTGCTTCTTCTTGCTTCTGCATGATGCGGCGAAGCACTTATCTCGGACGCCAGTGGCGGTGCCGGCGCTGGCGCCGCCTGTGCTGCGACCCTTCCCTCTCCCTTTGCCGCGGCCTCGGCCTCGGCCTCGGCCATGCGCATGCTGCTCAGGGGGAGGTGGCACCTCATCGATTTCGACCGCATCGTCCCAGTCCATGGTATCTGGAGTGTATCTGGCAAGCTCGTAGACAAGATACTGTCCCTGAAAAGTGAAAACTATGGACTCTCTGACACTCGTGAGCCCCTCGTGATTGTTTATGAATGTAGTCGTTGATGTCGTGTTGTTTGTTTGGCGCAATGGCCCAAGACGGCCCAAGGCGACCGCAAGATGCCCCAAGAAGCCCCCCCAAACGGCCCAAGACAAGCCAAGAGACCCCCAAGCCCCAAGACGGCCAGAACACTATAAGAAGCCCATGCGCCCGACCAAAAATTTGCGATGCCTAACCTAACTTTCTGAATATGCGCGTAACTCAGATGACTCATCTGCGCTCAGGGCCTTAAATGCCTACTCGCGCAGCCATAGCCATCATCTCTCAACCCGTCTCGCGACAATCGCAACGCTCATGGCAGAATCCTCCCGAACACGAAGGCGCGTGAGCAGAGAACTCAAACAACACCGGCGTGTGAGCGAACTCGTACCTCCAGCGAGCGAGCGCCATCAGCGTGTGAGGAGAGAGTTGCGGGTCCAAGAAGGAATCTCTTTATCTGAGCCGCCTGAGCCTGGAGCTCGAAGTACACAAAACGCAATGTCCTCGGCGAGCGAACGTGAAAAGGGCGGTTGACAGAGGGGATGAGGAGGCCAAGGAGCTGATGAGCAATGGGAAGACGGCGCAGATCCAACTGCGCAAAAGTATCGCCGTGGCGCCACTGAGATCAGAACAAAAAAATCACCTGTCGGTTGCAAGATGTCTCGCGCACTATGTATTGATAAACTCAGAACTCCTGTGAGCTGTCCAGGCCATCTGACTTCGCGGCCCTTTGCGTAATGGTCTCGGCTGAGAGCGCGCCGTTGGGCCGCTTACTCTTCTTTGAATTGGGCTCAGAGCTGCCCTTGTCCTCGTTATCATCATCTGAGCTGTCGCCATGGCCAGGTAGGATAGGTGTTGGGATGAACGATTTGACCTTCCTCACGTTCGCCAGAACGTAAATCATCCAAGACGCTTGAATTGCCAGATTCATCGAATTGCCCGCCGCGGTTATCTTCTGACTTTCGCCCAGCTGCTCAAACTCTGGCCAGAGCCTCGCCGTTGGGAATGTCGTATACATCCCTGGCCACACGCTGAAGCCCTGGGCGAAGAGATGTTCCTTCCCCAAGGCGAGCTTCCATTTGTCCTTCTCGAAGCAGATCACGGTGCCATGCGTGAGGAGGCAAGGGAAATCCGTGCCGCCCCGAGGGCCGCGACCAGGCCAGTGGTCGATATCCGCGATGATAAAGTCATCCTCGTCAGTACCACGCTGCTGCGACCAAGCATCGAAGCGATCTTTG